AGACTTTATTTTGCAGTGCCTTGGTAACTAGAGATTTCTTCTGCATATTCCCATCTTGGTTTTGTCTGTTTTCACTACATAGAATTTCTGGCTACAGCTGAACATACACATGCCAATCAGTTAGGGGAAAAACCACCCGATTTTTAGCCATTGTATTGTGAGAAACTGATGCAGAAGTGATTTGCAACTGTGTCAAGTTGCATTTCAATTTCCTTTTTTTGTAGAGACAGCCTCTCGCTGTGTCGCCCAGGCTGGAGTGTAGTGGTGCTCACTGCAGCCTCAAACTCCTCAGCTCAAGTGATCCTCCCACCTTGGCCTCCCAAAGTGCTGGGACTACGGGTGGAGCCACCACACCCAATCTTAATTTCCTTCTTCCTGACAGGGTGAAAACATGCAAATCAGTCTGGAATTAGTTAAAAAGTAAAAGATACATAATTTTCTTAAACCTCACTATGAGATATTAGCCTAGAAATAAACCCCAGAACCTAGGATGATATCTTCCAGCTCTAGGACATACCAATCCATGGATCTCCTTAGCTATTCTCCAGAACACTGGGTTGTTTCCAAACCAGTCCCTTAGGATAGAAGAGAGGCAGGAACATTGAACCTTTCATGTCCTCAGTAGGTCCACATGACTATGAATGCAGCCCAGGAATCACATTTGTTCTAAACCACTCTGTTCTTCCTTCTTGACTCTCTTATCCAACAGATAGATGGGATGGGCTTTTGAGCCAGTCCAGGCATCCTGGGAGTCGTTAGGCTACACATGGCTTGGGATTTCCCTGGAGATTGCTTAAAGCTGAATATCCTTGGGGGTCATGATAAACTGAACTGGTGGCAGTCACTGGTGTGTTATTTGGAATGCTTGGAAGGGATGGACTGAGCTCCTATTGCACCATGCTTTTTTTGTTTGTTTGTTTGTTTGAGATGGATTTCTGCTCTTTTTGCTCAGGCTGGAGTGCAATGACGAGACCTCTGCTCGCTGCAACCTCTGCCTCCTGGGTTAAAGTGAATTCTCCTGCCTCAGCCCCCTGAGTAGCTGGGATTACAGGTGCCTGCCACCATGTCAGGCTAATTTTGTATCTTTAGTTGAGACAGGGTTTCACCATATTGGCCAGGCTGGTCTCAAACTCCTGACCTCGAGTGATCCACCTGCCTCAGCCTACCAAAGTGCTGGGATTACAGGTGTGAGTTACCGCACACAGCCGCATTTTTTTTGAGACGGGGTCTCACTCTGTTATGCAGGCTGGAGTGCAGTGGTGTGATATCCGCTCCCTACAACCTCTGCCTCCCAGGTTCAAGCAATTCTCCTGCCTCAGCCTCCCAAGTGGCTGGGATTATAGGTGTGTGCCACCACACCAGGCTAACTTTTGTATTTTTCTTTTTTTTAGGTAGAGTCTCGCTCTGTCATCCAGGCTGGAGTGCAATGGCACAATCTCAGCTCACTGCAACCTCTGCCTCCTGGGTTCAAGCCATTCTCCTGCCTCAGCCTCCTGAGTAGTTGGGATTACAGAAACCCACCACCATGCCCAATTTTTGTAGTTTTAGTAGAGACAGGGTTTTGCCATGTTGGTCAGGCTGGTCTCGAACTCCTGACCTCAGGTGATCTGCCTGCCTTGGCCTCCCAAAGTGCTGGGATTACAGACATGAGCCACTGCACCTGGACTTAACTTTTGTATTTTTTGGTAGAGACAGGGTTTCACCATGTTGGCCAGGCTGGTCTTGAACTCCTGACCTCAAGTGACCTGCCTGCCATGGCCTCCCAAACTGCTGGGATTACAGGTGTGAGCCACCACACCTGGCCGACCATGCTTTTTTTTTTTAATTTTATTTTGAGACAGAGTCTCACTCTATCACCCAGGTTGGAGTGTAATGGTGCAATCTCTGCTCACTGCAACCTCTGCCTCAAGTGATTCTCCTGCCTCAGCCTCCTGACTAGCTGGTATTACAGGTGCAGACTACCATACCCGGTTAACTTTTATATTTTGTTTTGTAGAGACAGGGTTTTACCACATTGGTCAGGCTGGTCTTGAACTCCTGACCTCAGGTGATCCGCCCACCTCAGCCTCCCAAAGTGCTGGGATTACAGGCATGAGCCACCGTGTCCGGCCCCAACCATGCACTTTTTACTTTGCTAGCTAGAGGCAGATAGCTGATCAAAACTGGTTTAAGTTAAAAACAAAAATAAAAACAAAACTCAGCATAGTGGCTCAGGCCTGGAATCCTAGCACTTTGGGAGGCCTAAGTGGGAGGATCACTTGAGCCCAGGAGTGCAAGGCTGCAGTGAACTACGTTTGTGCCACTGCACTCCAGCCTGGGCAACAGAGCAAGACATTGACTCTAAAAAAGAAAAAAAAAAAATCATGGTTTAAGTAATATATAATGGCATAGGAAAATTCCTAGCCTATTAAGTAGAAAAGTAGATTGTAAAGCAGTTTGATCAAATTTTGTTAAAAAGATAATACAGAAAAAGAAGATATATGACACATGTACACAGAAAAATACAAGAAAACACATACATCAAAATGGTAACAACGATATGCTGGTGAAGGTAATGGGTATTTTTATTTTTTGTGCTTTTCTCTATTTAACAAATTATTTTACAATGAACATGAATTACTTTTGAAATCAGAAAATTGGCCAGGCGTGGTGGCTTATGCTTGTAATCCTAGCACTTTGGGAGGCCGAGGCAAGCGGATCACCTGAGGTCAAGAGTTCAAGACCAACATGGCCAACATGGTGAAACCTGTCTCTACCAAAATACAAGAATTAGCCAGGCATGATGGCAGGTGCCTGTAATCCCAGCTACTCGGGAGGCTGAGATGGGAGATCACTTGAACCCATAAAATGGTGGTTGTGGTGAGCCAAGATTGCGTCACTGCACTCCAGCTTGGGTTGCTAAGCGAGACTCCATCTCAAAAAAAAAAGAAATCAGAAAATTTTTTCTTTTTTTGAGACAGACTTTCGCTCTTATTGCCCAGGCTGGAGCAAAATGGCACGAGCACAGCTCACCACAACCTCCGTCTCCTAGGTTCAAGCGATTCTCCTGCCTCAGCCTCCTAAGTAGCTGGGATTACAGGCATGTGCCACCACGCCCGGCTAATTTTATATTGTTAGTAGAGATGGGTTTTCTCCATGTTGGTCAGGCTGGTCTTGAATTCCTGACTTCAGGTGATCCGCCTGCCTCGGCCCCCCAACATGCTGGGATTACAGGTGTGAGCCACTGTGCCCAGCCCAGAAAGTATTTTTTAAATTGAAAATAAGACAGCATACTCCACAAATCTTCTACCAGCTACATTGTGGACTGAATTAAATGATTCTCCCTGTTGTTTGTGATGTGTCCAGTTATTTCTGGGCACCCTCCACCTCCCCAGGACACTGCCCATCTCCCCAACCCAGGGCCATTTCTCAACCCAGTGCTCCTTTTCCTACTAGGGGCGTGGATTTTCCAACATGACCACCTACATTTAGCCGTGGATGGGATCCACTTGCACTCTCTGAGGGGCTCAGGCAGATTCCTTCCTTATGGAAGGGGATCTGACATTTAATCACCCCATGCACTAAGTACACACTTCAGGATAACCCACACAACCTGCCAGTTCTTTGCTTGTAGTGGGTGCCCAATAAATGTTTGAATGCATAAAGAAAGCACTCAGATAAGCAGACATTTTAGAGCTCTCTGGGGATGAGAAAAGAGAGCACTATGGGAGTGAGAATTAACTTGACTGACTATGGCTGGACCTGGCAAAGAATAACTCAGAAGTATTGGCCTCAGAATTACCTTGTTCAGGCTGCTTAATCCATATTAAAAGTTTGCTGCTCCCACACAATTTTGCTAGGCTCTCCAACCCTGTGAGGATGTCAACAGTTGAAAAAGAAGAAATAATGAGCCCAGCCTGTATTTGCAGGGGAGTGTTAAAACTGCCAGCAGATGTTGGGCGCGGTGGCTTACGCCTGTAATCCCAGCACTTTGGGAGGCCAAGGTGAGTGGATCAGGAGGTCAGGACATCAAGACCATCCTGGCTAACACGGTGAAACTCCATCTCTACTAAAAATACAAAACATTAGCCGGGCGGGTTGCAGGCGCCTGTAGTCCCAGCTACTCCAGAGGCTGAGGCAGTAGAATGGCATGAACCCGGGAGGCGGAGCTTGCAGTGAGCCGAGATCCTGCCACTGCACTCCAGCCTGGGCAATAGAGCAAGACTCCCTCTCAAAAAAAAAAAAAAAAAAAAAGAAAAGGTGGCTCACGCCTGTAATCCCAGCACTTTGGGAGGCTGAGGTGGGCAGATCACAAGATCAGGAGATCAAGACCATCCCGGCTAACACGGTGAAACCCCGTCTCTACTAAAAATGCAAAAAAATTAGCCAGGCCTGGTGGCAGGCGCCTGTAGTCCCAGCTACTCAGGAGGCTGAGGCAGGAGAATGGCGTGAACCTGGGAGGCAGAGCTTGCAGTGAGCCCAGACTATGCCACTGCGCAGAGCGACAGAGCCAGACTCCATCTCAGAAAAACAACAACAACAACAACAACAACAACAATAACTGCCAGCAAAGCAGGGTAGTTTGCTAAACAGCCAGTTGAGAACTTTCCCAAACTGGTCAGCAGCAGCATTTCACACAGAAGTCCCTTCTTCATTGACATTGACATGTGGCTAATTCTAGCCACCAGCACGCCACTGCTAAGGGGCAGTTTTGTGGCCTTTTGCTATTGAATTTGCCAGATGTGTCCAAGACACAGTCTCACAGGCAGAATATAAACAACAAACCAACATAAAGAAGTCCACAGTGATTCTCCCCCTTCACTGAAGTCTTCTTTGCTTCTTTTCTGGCCCCCTGTAAGCGCTCCTTGTACCACACTCCCTAACCCCGCAGCTTCAGTTTTACTATTTTATATTTGTTTCCTCCTTCTCTGGTTGTTACATGCAAAAAGGTTGTGTTCATGCAGGGAGCAGGAATTGTAGTGGAAATAATGCAGTGTGGAAAGCCAGGCTCAGTTACTTACCAGCCTTGCTACCTTAGCCAAACGGTCATGCTCTCTGAGCTGTAGTTTCCTTCCTCATCTGTGAATAGACTTCTACCAACTCTCCTCACATGACTGTTTCGAGACTGAAATGATATTATAGGTATAGAAATAAATGTAAACATAATATAAATGTATAAGGCCTGACACGGTGGCTCCCGCCTGTAATCCCAGCACTTTAGGAGGCCGAGGCAGGTGGATCACCTGAGGTCAGGAGTTCGAGAGCAGCCTGGCCCAGATAGTGAAACCTCATCTCTACTAAAAATACAAAAATTAGCCAGGCATGGTGGCACGAGCCTGTAATCTCAGCAACTTGGGAGGCTGAGGCATGAGAATTGCTTGAACTCAGGAGGTAGAGGTTGCAGTGAGCCAAGATAGAGCCACTGTACTCCAGCCTAGGTGACAGAGTGTGACTGTCTCAAAAAAATAAAATAAATAAAATAAAATAAATAAATGTATGAGACTATCTTTCATCTGGCATACAGTAGATTCTCAAGAAACTCAAAACAGTATTGCGTTGTGGAGTTATGGCGGGGGGCACTAGATGTCAGACCTCTGTGTGCACTCGGGCAGATCAGTTTCACTAAGCTCTCGTGTTTTCCTCAGGAGGGCAAAACGGTACTAATGGGAATAATAATGGAACATCACAGAGTTGATATGAGGGTGAAATGAAATAATGCAGGCAAACACTTCCCAACAGTACCTAGCACATAGTGAGCACTTAATAAATGTAAGCTGTGGCTGCTGCTGCTGCGGCCAACAGGGAGACAGGGAAATTTGTCAATAAGAAATGTACATTGGCCGGGCGTGGTGGCTCCCGCCTATAATCCCAGCACTTTGGGAAGCCGAGGTGGGCAGATCACCTGAGGTCGGCAGTTTGAGACCAGCCTGATCAACATGGAGAAACCCTGTCTCTACTAAAAATACAAAATTAGCCACACGTGGTGGCGCATGCCTGTAATCCCAGCTACTCAGGAGGCTGAGGCAGGAGAATCACTTAAACCTGGGAGGCAGAGGTTGCAGTGAGCCAAGATTTCACCATTGCACTCCAGCCTTGGCAACAAGAGTGAAACTCCGTTTCAAAAATAAAAAAGAAAGAAAGAAATGTATGATGTATATTGGGGCAGAGAGCATGGGCAGTTGGGTTATGGCAGGGCACAGAGTAGAAATGGGAGCTCTGTAAGCTAGCAGCTTCTGGCAATCAGTCTGGAAGGTTTCATGGAGGGATGCACTTTCTGCAGCTCTTTGGATTACAGTTGGAAGATAAGTTGTCTGGAGCTATTAGAAAGGGTATCCCAGATACCCTACACGATTTGGAAGCTGATTGGGTGGGGGTGGGGTGATCAGCTGTTGGGAGTTTGAAAAATTCTGAAATAAAGAAGGTAGAGCTGAAGCTTGGTAGCCAAACTGTAAGCCTATCAGGCTGGTGTAAAACTGTAAGCCTATCAGGCTGGTCTGTTTCCCTAAAAGAGAGCAGACCCCAAGGAATGGTTAGAAAGTCTGAAATTTGGTTTGTAGTGAGGATGAAAGCACAATTGGCCATGTGTGGTTGAATGGCGTGTCACAGACTGAGTTAGGGACAAGCACTTTGGCAGCTCTCGGGAGGGGTGAGCAGTGGGGTTTGTTGCTGAAGGCAGGAATTGTGGACAGCTCATTGGGTGGATGAATTATAATCGAAGCTTTGATTATGAGAAGGAAGGGAGAAGGAAGAGAAAGGGGGGCCTCTTGGAGTAGAAATTATTAAGTACTTGGAGGTGGGGCGCTCCACATATAAGAAGATTCTTCTTAAGAGATGAGGGACCCAGAAAGCAGACTGAATTTGCCTTTACCAAAGGTGGGGTCGATACTATTGCTGAAAGTAGGTGTCAGAGAGTCTATCCACTTTCTTTTTTTTTTTTTTTTTTGAGATGGAGTCTCACGCTGTTGCCCAGGCTGGAGTGCAGTGGCGCGATCTCGGCTCACTGCAAGCTCCGCCTCCTGGGTTCACGCCATTCTCCTGCCTCAGCCTCCTGAGTAGCTAGGACTCCAGGCGCCCGCCACCGCGCCCGGCTAATTTTTTGTATTTTTAGTAGAGACGGGGTTTCACTGTGGTCTCGATCTCCTGACCTTGTGATCCGCCTGCCTCGGCCTCCCAAAGTGCTGGGATTACAGGCTTGAGCCACCGCGCCCGGCCTCTATCCACTTTCAACTAAAGTTCTCTAAGATGGTGGATCTTGCCCAAAATTGAAGAATAGTTGCAGGTATTGCTATTCCCGCGCAAGGGGTGATAGGATCCCACACGAAGTGAGTGAAGGCTGTTAGACACCCACTGCAGTCCAGTATCCTCATTGGACCAGATGATGAAACTGAGGCCGAGGGTTGGACTTACCTGCTCAAGGTCATACAGATATATTTGGTTCAATTCGCTATGTATTTTCTTTGTCTTTCTTTTTTTGAGATGGAGTCTTGCTGTTGCCCAGGCTGAAGTGCAATGGCGTGATCCTGGCTCACTGCAACCTCTGCCTCCAGGTTCAAGCGATTCTCCTGCCTCAGCCTCCTGAGTAGCTGAGATTACAGGCGCACAGCACCATGCCAGGCTAATTTTTGTATTTTTAGTAGAGATGGGGTTTCACCATTTTGGTCAGGCTGGCCTCGAACTCCTGGACTTGTGATCCGCCCGCCTCCGCCTCCCAAAGTGGTAGGATTACAGGCGTGAGCCACCACCTCTGGCCTCTGCTCTATATTTTCTTTTAGCTCCCTTCTCCAAAAATGTGAAATTCCCCCTAATCTCTTTGCTTCCCATCTGGATAGTGTCAGAATGAAAATCCTAGTTTAATTTTGCGGCAGCTAAGAGCAGCAAACAAGTCCCCTTTATTATTATATTTTATTTCTTGAGACAGAGTCTCGGCTCACTGTAACCTCCGCCTCCCAGGTTCAAGTGATTCTCCTGCCTCAGCCTCCTGAGTAGCTGGGACTACAGGCCCGTGCAACCAAGTCCGGCTAATTTTTGTATTTTCAGTAGTGACGGGGTTTCACCATGTTGGACAAGCTGGTCTTGAATTCTTGACCTCAAGTGATCCGCCAGCCTCGGTTCCCCAAAGTGTTGGGATTACAGGAGCGAGCCACCACGCCCAACCAACAAGTGCCCTTTAAATACATCCTCCCTTCTCTCTGCTTGCAGGCTTTGATATGCCCACCATGTGACTTTTCGCCCCTTCCAAGATTTCCAACCAATCCCCTCCTTCCTGTTTCCCGTTGGGCTTTGGGGAATGTACCATATGGACTCTGCGGGCAGACGGAGAGGACGAAAGGCGTGGCGACCGCTTATTTCTTTGGCTTTTGCACGTATCCCATGAGATTCTGGCAAGGCTGAGCGTGCAGGTAGCAGTGGGATCCCTGAGGATGGGAGCCAGTGCACTGAGATCTCTCGCCTCCGAGGCTAGGGTCCTGTGGTCCGCCCGAGGGCCGCAACCCCCGCCCTTTCATGTGCCTGCCTCGCCCCCGGCTGCGCCGATGCTCCTGCTGCTGCTGCTGCTTACCGCGCCGGACGCCGGGGCTGCGGGACAGGGCGGCACTGGCCGGCTACTGGGACGCCGGCGCCTAGGGACACCGCAGCATGAGGCAGAGGTAAGGACGAGGCTTTGGGACTCCGACCCGCGCCAACCGCCCCCTGGGAGCCGCATCCTGCTCGCGCCCGAGCTCGGGGTCTCGGGCCTCAGGCTGGCCCTGGCGGGCGACTCTGGAGCGGGTGGCCCCGCGAGCGGACGCGCGCGCCGAGCCTCCCGCCGGGACAGTGCTGAGGCCGTGACCCGCCGCGGCGCGAGCGCCTCCTTCCCGCGGCGCTTATAGCCCTGCGCCCCGCCGGCGGGCCGCCAGGAAGCCCCCGCCCCGTGTCTCCCTGTGGTCACCTGCCGCCGGAGGATGCGCGGCCAGGTGCGCCGAGAGTCACTAGTTCCGGGGCGGCGGGCGCGGGGAAGCGCGGAGAGGCTGCCTGCTTCAGGCGGGAGGTGGAGGAAGGGGGCTTAGCCCGGCGCTGGGCCGGGGGGCTTTTTTGGAGCTGGGGAGGTCTCTGTCTTTACCAGGGTCCGTCGGGTCCTTCCTCCGCGGCCTGGCCCCCGGGGCCTCCCCGTCCCGCTGCCCCGGCCTGGCACTGGCGTGCGCCAAGGGTGGGCTCCTGCGAACTTGGCAGGTAGGTGGCCGGGAGAACCCTGGCGCGCCTTTCCATTTGTGTGGGCGGGGGTCGTCGGGGGGAAGATGCAGAGTGCTCACTCCTGGCACCTGCAGCCCCTGGGGGAATGGCAGCTACCCTTTAGCATGGACTGTCCCCAGCCCACAGAAAGTCAGCTTTCAAAGGTTCTAGCATATTCCTCCCTCCTCCACCAACAGAGCTCCTTGCTGTGGCTGAGAATTGTCGGCCTGTGATGGGACAGGGACGGGGTGGGAGAGCAGCACCTGGCGCTTGATGAGCACCGCAGTGATGGCAGCAGCAGAGATGCTTAGAGACCATTGGCCGTGCCACGCTCTGTCCTGAGTGCCCACGTGTCTTAATGCGCTCAGTCCTCACCACAGCGGACAGACTGGGTGCTCTTATGATCCCTGCTTTTCACAGTAGGAAGTGGGGCACAGAAAGCTAAAACAAGTGGTGGCGTCAGGATTTAGATGAAGGCATTGGGTTTTGGACTCGTGCTCTCGCAGACCAGTTGAGGGCAATTGACTTGGGCGTATTCCACAGGGTTACCTCCATCCTGGGGGTCACCCCTTGCTGTCTGTCCTCAGACCCCTCCTCCATATTTCCGTCTCTTCACTCTGGAGTTATCTCTGAAAGGCCAGGAGAGGTGCATTGAGGTGAATTGGCGTAGTCCTTGAAGTATTCCTGGCCTGTTTCTCAGGGGGTGGAGTCAGGAGGTAATTCTGAAGCACTGGGAGGAGAGCCTGGGTGCAGTGGGTCTTCCCAGGGGGGCACTTAGGACACTGTGTATTCAGGGACCTGGGGCTGTGCCTTGGGATCCAGAGAGTGCTGAGGGCAGCCTTGCTTCTGGAAAAGGTGAGGAAGCCCTTCCCTTCCTTCTGATTCCCAAGTTGTGGAACCCAAGCAGATCCATTATTGCCCCAGCTAAACTCCGTTATGGATGGTTCTTTTAAGAGAATGAGCTGGGCCAGGGGTGGAGTAAGGCAAGAGGAGGGAGCGCATTAGGACAAATACCTAATGCATGTGGGGCTTCAAACCTAGATGACAGGTTGATAGGTGCAGCAAACCACCGTGGCACGTGTATACCTGTGTAACAAACCTGCACGTTCTGCACATGTATCCCGGAACTTAAAGTAAAATTTAAAAAAAAAATTAAAAAAAAGAGAAAGAGCCACCTGGGAATCCTCAACACTGTGTATAATTGGCACGTGAACTTATGGAACAGAACCTTTTACCCAGTTTGGCCATGACTCGTCAGAGTCATCCATTTCCCTGAGAAAAAGGAAAAAGGAAATATTTTAACTAGTGACATGGGCTTGGGTGAGTTTCTTTCCAAAACAGATAGGCTTTCTCAAAACCACCCTTGCAAGGGTAGGAAAAACAAACTTTCTGCTTTTGGTATTCTAAGCACCTTTAGACAGTGGGGTGTGTGGACAATTATATAAGAGAGTCGTAACAGTGACCACTTCACCTTCCCGTGGCCAGACTGCGCGCACTTCATTTCTGGTCTTCAGGTAGGGTCCTTTCACCCCGTTTTATGCAGGGAAACTGTTCCAGTGAGGTAAAGGGCCATAAACCCAATAATGTGCATAGCTAATAACTCCAAATTCCGTGAGATAAATGTTGAGGGAGCAAAAGGAAGAGGAATGGGGCAGAAAAAGACAATATGAGGCAGGGAAAAAATTCACAGGTGGCAGCTTGAATTGGCCCTCAGGGTGTAGGAGCACCGTGCTAGGCCCTAGCGGAGGGTGGGGACACAAACAAGCCTCTGGGCCTCAACCACCCTCAGGGAGCCAAGGAGCAGAGAGGATTCCTACTTTAGAAATGCTTTACACACTGACTTTTTTCGGCACATTTATTGAGCACCTGTTGTATGTAAGTGCCACATGGTAAGACAGCCTGTGTCTGCAAGAGGTTGGTATTTCTAAGAGGTTAGATGCATTGTCAGCCATGCAAGTGCGGTAACCTGGATTTAACTGGCCAGGAAGCCCTGGACATAGAGTGCTAAGCAAATTTATGCTAACTAGTAAAATATTCTTGATTTGGTTTTGTTTATTTCTTGCACATAAGATTGAGAATTTCTAGAATTTACCTATCCCCTGTGGCTGCTGTTTGTGGAGTGTTTGTGTTTTGCAAACAGGATCATTTTGCAACTCCTTCCTGAGGACCAGCCCTGCACTTGGCTCAGGAAAGGCTGGGACCATTTCCCTTGCCTGCAGGCTGCCCTTGGGCCCGTCACCATTTTGGACCTGGTGCTCTCAATGTGCTTGTCCTTGCCCAGCTACTCATCGAGAGGTGTAGGTGCCCCAAGTGGACCGGGCAGCCCTTCCTAGAGGAGCGTTTTGCGGGCTGTGCCCTTTCCTGGGTGCTGTAGCAGTGGTGGATGGGAGCAGTCCTGGGCATGGAGGCGCTTCATCGATGCTTTGGGCATTAGATTGTCCATGCTGCTTCTAGGGCTCCTTTCTAACCCTAGGACCACGGTGCTGTGTCTACCACGGCCTCGGAGCTGGTTGGAGCCTTGTAATAATGTCATCAGCCAGCATGGTAGCAAGCCCCCCATTCCTCCATCTTCCTGAAGTATTTCTTTGTCATGTGCTGTATTTGGAAGCTGATGTATTGTGGGAAAAGGCCTAATAGGACTTCTTACTACTGGATATGATGAGTGAGATACCGTTTTGCTTGGGTCTTAACTTCTGTTTTCTTAGACCTTTGGTTCCATTTGATCAGGTTCATTCAAATAGAAATTGCGTATATCTTCTAGAAATGAGTTAAACACCTAATCTCTGCTTCCTGCTATATTAATATAGCTGACTGGCTAACATGAAGGACACTTTACATGCTGCTAATGACAAGTTCCCTCTGTGCATGACCACCAGCCCGGGGGAAGGGTTCATGGCTTAAAGGTATCTCTTACCCTTCAGGCAAAGTTGATGTATGGAAACGTGGATTTATCTTCAAAATAAACCAGTGTGTATCTGTACTTCTTGGCTTGAAATTAAATTTTTCACAGTAAAGGAATTTGGCAACAGAATTCCTTTGGTAGAAATTTAAAAATTTACCTTGCTAGCCGGGCGCCGTGGCTCACGCCTGTAATCCCAGCACTTTGGGAGGCCGAGGCGGGCGGATCACGAGGTCAGGAGATCGAGACCATCCTGGCTAACACAGTGAAATTCCATCTCTACTAAAAATACAAAAAAGTTAGCCCGGCATGGTGGCGGGCACCTGTAGTCCCAGCTACTTGGGAGGCTGAAGCAGGAGAATGGCGTGAACCCAGGAGGCGGAGCTTACAGTGAGCCGAGATCGCACCACTGCACTCCAGCCTAGGCAACAGAGCGAGACTCCGTCTCAAAAACAAAAACAAAAACAAAAACAAAAAAAAATTTACCTTGCTGTAGACAGTATTTTAGGCAGTCTGATATCCCACCATTGGTGGGAATGACTGTCACTTTCACCTGCCTGCCCCTCTTTGTCCCCCGACAGCACTTACACACATGCAGGCTCAGAGGCACAGGTGCTCCTGACTCTGCCTGCAGCCTCCCAGGCCTGTTATCTGGGCCTGTTGGTGCGGCACATGGATCTAGGTGCTGTCACAGGCTGTCAGTTGTGGAGTGTCCTGGCAGGGCCCGGCTGGCCTAGTCTCTGCTCATGCAGTATTCATCTGCACGCCAGGGGCCGTCTGGACCATCTCTGCTGCGCTGCCCCACTCAGCTCCGTGTGCAGGTGCTTTCCTTTCTTGCTTGTCTCCAGGCCATTTTTCTAAGCTTTTATGAGGTCCGGATGCTTAGGCACAGGCAGTAGGCAGGAAAATCCAGCAGGGCATATAGATCATTCCCAGTAGTAAAAGAGGTCAAGGGGTTTGGCTAAAAACCTCACTTATATTGGGATATGGGAAAAGTGGGAGGGAACTGATTTCTCAGGAATCCGCTTCATAATATATGTCATGGCATGTTTGCCTTCAATCCTCATGACAGTCTCACAAAGTTACCCATGTGAGGCCCACTTGAAAGATGAGGCACATTGAGGTTAGATGACTTGCCTGAGATCTGTCACCTGGTAAATGGTGGAGCTAAATCAGAGTAAGACAGTGAAAATGCGTGTGGTTAAGAGCTTGGACTCTGGAAGCAGATTGTGCTGTACTATACCAGTTACTAGAGTGTGTGACCGGGAGTGTGTTCCTTATCCTCCCGAGACTCAGTTTCCTCATCTGTGCAACGAAGGGCGTAACAGTCCTACTCACCTCATGTGGTCGTAAGCACTTAGAATCCTCCCAGGCACGTGGTAAGCACGCAGCGAGCACCCCAAGCTCAGCTGGTACTGTCACTGACTGGTGCTCCTGAAACTTGGAACGGAATTCTGAGGCTTGGGGCTTCCTCTCCTCCAGAGACAGTCTTCAGGGGAGCGTGCTGGGTCCAGACTATCCAGTGATGAGCACAGGTTTCTCTGCAGTGTTTGGATGGGTGAGAATGAACAGTACCA